TTTTTTAAAAATTCTAAAAAATCAACCGTAATTTTTAGCCATTTGAAAATTGTACTTTATTCTACTAGAATTCAATGGGCTACAAAACTGCATACTCAGAATTTTATTTAAAAGCCGAAATTTTTACGAAAATTCGTTGAATTTTTTTTTTAATTGCATAAATTTTTAAGGCAGTGTCACTCGATTGGTACATTTGTACAGTTATGTGCATTTTTTATATTTGGCTATTGGTAAAAACAATTTTTTTTTTAGTTAGAAGCTTGGTAGCAATCTTGTATTGAAAAATTTCAACAAATTATATTTCGTGATTAGGATAAAGAAAAATATTTGGGTATTCAGAAAATTGGGATACGATTTGCACCAAATTTCGGCGAATTTCACATCGTGTGACACTGCCTTTAAACTTGTATATATACGGATGTTGGTAAAGAAACTAACCAAAATTAAATAACAACAAAAATAATATTTAAAAAATTTGGTGCGGCTATAATTTTTTCGACTACTGTACATAAGTTGACTATGATTACTCGGCCGAGCTATCATAGTAGCACAATGCCAAACATATTTGACTTACAAACAAAATACGGGCAGGAATTTCAAAATTTCAACCCTGTTTGTGTGAAATATTTTTTTATAATCAGTATTTTTTTTTAATCAATCTACATACATATGTATGTTGAAAACAAGTGAGAATAAAAAAAGATTTTGTCAGAACGAACTGAAGAAATAGCATTTTAAATTCCACAATAGATCATCAAAGCGGTCAGTAGTGGCTCGCCAGGGGGGTGGTGGTCTACAAGAATGTGGGAGGAACTCTCCGTCTTAGGAAATGGAAAGAGGGCATAAAAAGTTGTTCTAGTTTTCCAAACGGAACTCAGCAATCCCTCAGAAAAAACTCGGCATAACAGATTTATCTTTACTAAAAGCAGGTTTCATTATTAAGAAATATAACATTAGAAAATAAATATTTCTTAGCCATCAACTTACAAAGATCCTTCATAATTTTGTTCTACGTAAAATTTGCTTAATTGGTTGAACTGACAAATAATTAACTAATTTGCTCCATCTTTTTCGTCTAGGTACGTAAAAAAGTATTTCTATCCAAATCATTAAATTCTATTTTATTAATATTTTAATGGACAAAACTAATATGAAGTTACTTCGTTATTATTATGAACAAAAAACAAAATTATACAGCAACGCTAACTATTCATGCAAATGACCTGCCCACACGAGCAAAATGCGCAGTCGGCAACAACAACTATTTAAGTACACTTTTACACAATTTCCTTGTTAACTGCTAAAATTTTTCATTGTTGTTTGTTTGTTTGTAGTTCTTTTCATTTGTATGAGCAAACAAACATCAGACACACACACACACACACACACCCATTTACGCACCCGCTACATACACATGTATGTACACATGCATCGCACGCCTGAGTGGTACACTCAATTAGCCAGCGATGTGGCAGCAACCGCAATTGAGCAACTTTTCAAAGCTCAAATTCAAAAATGAGCTGCAGTATGGAACAACTTTATTGTGTTCGGCATGTGTAAGTGTACGCGCGTATGTATATGCATATGTATGCAAATGAAAATAAGTTAACACGCATTTGTGACCCTGCAGGAATTTTATATATAACTATAAGTTAGCTTGAAGTTGTAGTTCCTCCTCCTGCTCAGTTTTCATACAAGAAATGTTTGCGTATTTTCATTTGACCACTCCGTATTTCTTATTTATCCACCGATTTTCCTCATGAGTAACTTGATTTTTTTTTGTAACAGAACAGGCTTTAGTACAAATGCCAAAATTTGGCACAGATTTTTTTTTAATTTTTCTTCTGTTAATGTTTGATTTTTTTTTCATTTTTTGATTAAAAAAAAGAAAAATCTGGAATGATTAATTAATTTGTCGGAAACTATAAGCCATATCGGAAAGTGATGTATATACGGTTTATGGAGAATTTAATTTGCTTTCATTTGCCGTATTTTATATTAAAATTTTTAAATTGGTTCCTAAGATATACGTGTCTAAAAGGAACCAATTTTTGCTATAACGGTAAATTGCAAATATCTCGAAAACGTATCCATACATAGGAATTGTATAGTGGCATACATAGAACATTTTTGTTGTAAACCAGTGTAATTTGAGTTAGGAAGTTTTTTTTACACAGAAGTTGGGTAAAATGAGTACCTTACAAATTAACAAATTTTTTAAATTTTTTTTTTTAGAATTTTTTTGAGTATGCAGTTTTGCAGTAGTCAATTTTAGTATAATAAAGTGCAAGGTTTAAGCTACCGCAAAACTGGCGTTAATTTTTTTTTTTAATTTTCTGCATGTTCAAAAAAATTCTATAAAATTTTAAAAAATTTGTAAATTTGTAATATTGAGTAAAAAAAAAATTTATAACTCAAATTATTCTAGAGTGCCGTAATACTATACTTAAATATTGCGCAATACTTAGAGTTACCATTGTCATTTTTTTAATTTTTTTTTGAGATGGCACATTTTCAAAAACTAATTTAGTTTGTCAAACAATTTCTATGTAAAAACAGCTAACTAAAAGCGGGTTATTTTTATCAATTGATATATTTTTCTGCAGGGTAGTTTTTGAATAAATATGTACATACATAAGTATATACCCCGGCAGGAGATTCTCTAGTCCAAAAATATTTCAAGATGGGTTCCTTTTTTCACAACCCTATTTCCCGCTCAATCTCCGAACAACGGCTTCAACTGTCTACTTTATAATGGAAGTGTCATTGGCGGTGGGCAGTTGCCCCATAAGCATTCCAATGAATATATATCTCGTTCGTTGGAGATTGTTGTAGCCGAGCGACCCGTATGCCGATGTTGCGCTGTCTTGTCCGTGCACATTGATGCTTGCACCATTCGTTAGATTCCAA